ATGAAACTGAAAATGAAAATTCATGGCATAATGTATTATTTAATATTTGAATCGATTTGATTTGATTTAAATAATCATATTTTCAAAATGCATGTATTTAGATTGCTGCAGAAGTAGCATAAATCTGTTCATTGAGAAACATTTAAATTTGTTCAGTTAAAAGGAATAAAAAATATGCAGTGGAACAAGCTATATTTAATTAGTTAAAATGTATGAGATTAAAACAAATTGGATTTATTGACGATAAATATATCAACCTTTTTTTCTTCTTTTTTTTTAAACACATTCATATTATTACGGAAATTACAGAAATCTGACCAGTTTCATTTAATTATGACTGGCAAATATTCATCACATTAAGTTTATTACTTTGTTAAAAACTGTGTAATCCAAACATTTTATATGCAGTTCAAACATAAATCTTCAATTTAGGCCAAAATACCTCAAAAAGGACAATTTACCCATCTCTGAAACCCAAAAGATCCTCTCTCCAGGCTCCTCTCTTCCATTCAGCAAATGTAAAAAAAAGAGGGAAACACTGTCAAGCTAAAAAAAAAAAAAAAAGGCATCATAAAAGTAGCTTACATGAAATCTCTTTAAACTTCGTTTATGTTTATATTTTCAAACAATCTTCTGAGATGTTAATATCATCATATTCAATTTCTCAATTCACAGAATTCATCAAATTCATGGCTAATAAATTGCTAAGACTTGTCGATGTTCATGCTGTTGATTTCCCACCTAAATGATGATTTCCCACCAAAATTATGTCACTTCCTGTAGGATAATGTCATTAAGGAACTGGCTTTTAGGATCAGTAACACTTTGCAAGGTTTCACTGGTAACATTAGTTACTAAAATACTCAAATTAATAAATGCTGTAGAAGTTCATAAGTATTTTTGCCTTGTTTTCCCGAACAAACATCTAAATTCTTTAATCAAGATGAATTAACTGGACAGGCAACATGACTTTTCTCAACAACAAAAAAACAAGATAAAATATCTGTCCTTGGGGTAAGAAAAACTAGTTTGAATTCATTTTTTTCTGACCCCATTGGCAGATTGTTTTAAGCATAAAATCACTTTTTTTTAGAAAACAAGACTTAATATTTTTGCTTCTCACTGTATCTTTATTAAACAATGATAAGATATTTCTGCTGGAAAACAAGACAAAAATACTGAAGAAGAAAATCATTTTTGCAGTGTGCAATGTGAACTAACATAAACAACAAACAGTTGTATCGTTAACATTATTAACAATAACAAAGGTTAATAAATAAAAGTTGTAAAGATATGTATTGCTCATTGTTAGTTTATGTTAGCCAGCGTTAACAAATGAAACGTCTTGGTTACGTATGGTAACCCTCGTTCCCTGAAGGAGGGAACGGAGACGTCACGTCGGATGACCGACGAAATTGGGATCCCAATTTTGTCGGTCATCCGACGTGACGTCGAGAGTGACCAACTGAAAGGGAACGTCTCGGTTACGTATGGTAACCCTCGTTCCCTGAAGGACGTCCCATCGCCACAGCTCCTGTACCACCGCTGAGCGGCCGGGTCACCGGCTCGGCTCCTCAGCGAAAACCTGAATATGCGCTGCATCTGCTGCCTGCTTATACTCACGCTGTGATCAGCAGCAGCTGGATGCAATAATCGCATGCCAATGTGCATTGGCTCGTTTAGTTTACACTCGAAGTAGATTGGTCCCTCTAAGCAAGATCCCAATTTCGTCGGTCATCCGACGTGACGTCAAGGGTGACCGACTGAAAGGGAACCTTATTGTAAAGTGTAAAGCTTATGAAAATACAGAATGATAGTATATGAAACAGAAAGGAAAGTGACATTGAAGATGCAGGGAAAAGACACATAAATTGAAAAATTGATAACCAATTAAAAACAAAATTCCTAAGAACACATTGTGTTTAAAAAAAAAAAAAGATTAGAGAGGGAAAAAATGGTATACTCCTGAATAAATTGGTAGTTTTCATGTTAGACGTCAGCTCAGCAGAGGAAGACATGACAGAAATGATATCCAGTCTAATTAAAGCATCAAATGATTTCAAATTCACTCTGTATTGCATTCATTATTATACTCTGATAAAAGAAAATGAACTAATATGATTTCCATCTGCAGAAATGGTGAGTTTAATATGTTATGCATTGTATGCTAAGATTTTATATGATGTAGACATGAAAACATGCTGCATAGTAGGAATGACCCAGTTGACAGAGCTCTTCAAAAGCACTGGATATTAATCTCTCTCTCACACACACACACACACACACACACACACACACACACAGAGAGAGAGAGAGACCGTGGTAAAAGCTCAAGGGAGTGGCCATAAGGACATTTTAGCTAGAAAACCATCAAGCCTGTATGTATGGAGATTTATTTTTCATAAGAATATCACAGTATGCCCAAGAATGTGCCTTGTAAAGTCTAATCTCACTCTAAAAGGACAACCCAATAGAGGGGTCTTATCTCACTCTAAAAGGACAAAACAATAGAGGGGTCTTATCTCACTCTAAAAGGACAAAAAAAATAGAGGGCCTGTTTTCTTTGAACACTGTACAAAGCTAATGTGTGCAGATATGACATTATCTCCACTCCAGCTTTTATCATAATGTCTCACATGTGTTGTGCTACACTAATATGAGTGTTCGAGCATTGTGTTCCCTTTCAACTTACCGTCCTACACACACACACACAAACAATGTGCTGTGTGGGAGTCTGAGAACGTTTCGTTACTCTACAATTGTCTTTAACATCAACTCGCAGCCAAACACAAACACAATCTCCCTCATCTTACAATTTCACTCATGCACATGTTTGTGCATCTTAAAGCAGCACTATGTAACTTTTTCTGTGTTCAAAATTTGCAAAATGTATATAATGAGCGAGTACATCATCAAACCGTGTTTGTGTCTTATTCCGAATCACTACGGTACACTTATAATAAGTACTTATATTTGGACTATTGTAGCCTGGTCGGGTCGTCACCGCTGCGGAGTAACACACACCTGCGTGAATCGCCAGAGACATAAATTGGAGAAGTAGCTCTGGTTGGAATGTTCTTCCGCGGGATGTGTGCAGTTCTGTTTATTAACTGCTAGAGCGATAAAAGTTACATAGTGCTGCTTTAAGAGACCTGCAGAGAGTTGTGTGTGCAGAATACAAAAGTTGAAACCTGATAATAATTAGAAAGCGCCATAAGAATCTTCTAGACATAAGAAATCATTGAATGATTCAGTACTGTCAAACTTTTAATGTTAAATACTTATGATGTACACACTGCTGATTACAGGATTATTTCCCTGTCTTAATCTACAGAGATCCTTGCTTTAAATCATTGCTTGTTTCCATTTATTCATATAAAATATTATTCTAGAAGCAAATCGCAACAAGAAAAAAGCAGTTTAAACTGAATAGTCAGTTTGCATGACAGTTCAGTTCACATGTTCAGTGGATTTTGTGGTTCAGTTGAAGCGTTTGACTTCACAAGCTATGTGACGTTGAGGAAAAGATACTGACCCCAAATATAATGCATAAAACATTATTCTCTCAGAGATATAATGAAACCAGTTAACTGCAGATGTCAGCACAAGTTTAGCATAATGCAATGATGACTGTTAATGTTAATAGTGGGATATATTATGTGATGTTACTGAAAAAAAATCTAGCATTTTATATTGGTTTGGCAAAGGTTGACAACCTTCGATCAAAATGCATCTCTGTTTTATTTTAAACAGGAGAAAGAGGAGAAAATGTAGTACTTCACTAAGACCAGCAGAGGTCGACACACTTCAGTCTAACAGAGGTCTGGAACAACAACATACACGGGCGGAAGTTGGATGGATGAACAGATGGATCAGTGGAGGAGGTGGACCTACCCTGCAGTGTGGAAGGAGACCATTGGGAATAGACCTTACTAAACACCTTGACCTACAAAAACTGCATTGCATTTTGCATTGATGCATTTGGCAGATGCAGGTATGCACATTGCCTGGAATCAAACGAACAGCCTTGGCACTTTTGAGCTACAGGAATATTCACATGGCCAGAAAAAAAACGATAAACATAGACAAACAAACCTGCATTCCAAGTGTTTGCCTACTGATAAAAAAAATCGGTTTCTTGACCTTCAAAAATTGCATTGGATTTTGTATTAATGCATTTGGCAGATGCATGTATGTACATTCTCTGGAACCAAACGTACAACCTTGAGCTACAGGAACATTCACACAAGAAAAAAATAAGAAAAACACAGATGCATTCCTAGTGTTTCTTTACCGATAAAACTGTAAATAAAAAAACACTCATCTTGACCTACAATTGCATTGCATTTTGCATTTAGCTATGCATTTACGCATTTGGCAGATGCAAGTATGTGTGTTCAAACACACAACCTTGACATTGTTGAGCTGCAGGAACATTAACATAACCAGAAGATAAGATAAACACACATCAAACACAACTGCGTTTCAAGTGTTTCTCTGCTGATAAAACTGTTAAGAAAGTCACGCATCTTGTCCAACAAAAACTGCATTACATTTTGCAATGATGCGTTTGGCAGATGCAAGTATGTGCGTTGCCATGGAATCAAATGCACAACCTTGGCATTGCTGAGCTATAGGAACACTGAAAAAGCCAGAAAATAAGCTAAACACAAAAATTGCATTGCATTTGAACATCTCGAACTACAAAAATTGCCTTGCATTAAATAAGCTAAACACAAAAATTGCATTGCATTTTGCATTAATGCATTTCGCTAATGCAACCATGTGCCCTGACAGAAATTAAACACACAACTTTGAGCTACAGGAACATTCACACAACCAGAAAATAAGATAAGACACACACAAACACACCTGCATTCCTAATGTTCTTCTACCAATAAGACAATCAGAAAATCACACATCTTGACTTACAAAAAAATTGCTTTGGATTTTGAACATCTCGAACAAGAAAAATTGCTTTGCATTTTGAACATCTCGAACAAGAAAAATTGCTTTGCATTTTGGCGTTATTGAGCTACAGGAACATTCACAATGCCAGAAAAACAGACAGAAACAAACCTGAATTCCTAGTGTTTTTCTACTGATAAAATCGTGAAGAAATCACCCAAATACAAACAAAATGACATCTCAGATAGCATTAGCTGTGACGCTCTCTATTCTTATCCTACTCACTGTCAGCGGAAATATTTTGGTTTGTCTGGCTGTGTACGCGACCAGACGCCTACGTAACGTCACCAACTGCTTCATCGTCTCGTTAGCGGTTACGGACTTTTTACTAGGCGCTCTCGTGCTGCCGTTTTCCACCCTTTACCAAGTTACGGGCGAGTGGCCACTGGGGGCGCACTTCTGCAACATCTACATTTCGCTAGACGTCATGCTATGCACCGCCTCCATACTCAATCTCTTCGCTATCAGCTTGGACCGATACTTTGCGGTCACTGCCCCGTTGCGTTATCCAATGCTAGTGCTTCCGTGGCGAGTTGGTGTGATTTTAGCGACAATCTGGCTGGTTTCGGTTGGTGTTTCATTTGTACCCATCCACCTAGGCTGGAATACACGAGACTTGAGTGTGCAAAATATTCGCGAGGGCGACCCTGCGCGAGACTGCCGGTTTGAGTTAAATCCAACGTATGCAGTGGTCGACGCCTTTGCGACGTTTTATCTCCCCCTGGTGGCCATGTGCTGGAGCTACCACCAAGTTTTTCGCATCGCAAGGACACAGGCGAAACGGATCATTTCTACGCGACGGGGTTCGTCATCTTCGCCAGGAGCGACGATGCTCACCCTGCGTGAGCACAAAGCCACAGTGACACTTGCAGTGGTGCTTGGCGCTTTCGTGGTGTGCTGGTTCCCGTATTTCACATTTTTTACAATAATGGGGATACGTAACGAAGACAACCCGCCACGTACAGTGCAGTCGGTGGTGCTTTGGCTAGGATACGCAAACTCTGCCCTAAACCCAGTACTTTACGCCACACTCAATAGAGACTTCAGGTCGGCTTATGCCAAGCTGCTCTGCGGAGGACGAGGATGTAAAACAGGGACGAGAATTCCAATGGCAACAATGGAGGAGGGGCCAATGGGTGGACACGCCCCTCTGCCAAACAGGGCAGGGCTTCTGCCTAGAACTTGCGTGCTGCTGCAAGAGATCGAAAATGGAAAGACGGTCGACAGCAACACAACAGCTGGTGCTACAGTTACCATCATAGCTAATGGGAATAAAAGGTAGTAAAAATACAAGTTTGTTTACCCGTTACAACAGAGATTGAAAGAATTTAATGTGCTGTTGTTTTGTCTTATTGTCTTCGTATCTGCTCATTTATTTATCTGTCAGCAGCCTACAGGGAACACAAGTATTAAGACAGCGTAATTAAAAATACACGCAGAAAGTACAAATGCAATTAATCATAACTAAGTGTAGCAAAGTGCTTTTTTTAATGCCCTCTGGTGGCCATGAGAAGTAATAAGATATTGATAATAAGGTTTTAATCATAAGATTTTTTAAATGTGACCTGGACAAATATATACAGTATATATATATATATATATATATATATATATATACATACTATATATTGCATGAAGAAAATGAAGCCTACTTTTTGACTACTACATGTCCCATTTAATACTTAAAATAATATCAGAATTACACTAATGGCAATCACCATTAAGAATAATGAGAATAAATAAACATCTGGATGCATTAGAGTCATGAGAATTGGGGTTAAATTTTCTTAATGTACAAAAAAAAAAATCTCAACTGTCCTAAAGCTTAATTTCTTTTAGCATTTTTTTCCTTTTGTTTCTAGTGTAAATTGAGACCTAGACATGTTATGAGATTCACTTTACTGTAAGTTTAAAGAAAGATTGACCTCAGGGCCAGTGAATTAATTTCAGAGAGCTCTTTATGATATAAAATCAGCTATGCGACAACATATATCTAAAAAAACCCTCTACAATCCAAGTCTTCTGAAGTCATACGACAGCTCGGTGTGAGAAAAAGGCACCAAAAAATGTAAGTTGTTATTTGCTAAATCTTGTTTTAGTAATGGGGAATCTCTCTTTTGTTCTCCTAGCAGGTCATAACATTTTCATAAGACTCTACAATACATCTACCTCCGTAAAAGTGACTGACAATCAGCATACAGGTGACAGAACCAGAATCTAGTGTAATTTAATTGAGCTTTTGATATCCAAAAACGGCAATTTTTGGATATCAGATGTGAACAGATGTTCTGTTTCCAAAGCAGGTCAAAGAAATTCATGCAGCTTCTCTTCTGTCGGGTATTTTCAACAAAAACTACACTATTCCCTGGCTTGGACGTGTGATGAACTACATATCTGTCCTGTTCAGATTTAGATCTGCCAGAAGCCCACAGGGACCTCAAGTATTAAGTCTGTTTAACTAAAAAATACACACAGAAAAGGTGGTGTAAATGCAATTTATTGGTAACTGTTTTCTGTAACCAAAATGCTTTTCTTCTGATGCCCTCTGGTGGCCATGAGAAGTATCAAGATTATAGAAGCACTAAGAAATCTATTCAGTTACTGGGTGAATCTCACAATTTGTAGAAATACAAGATATAATAGTTTGAAAGTTACTACAGAGATTAAAGGAACAGTTTGCAAAGAAATATTAATGCAGTTTTCACTCACCTTCATACAGTATTGCTCCAAGTCCAAATGTTTTTATTTCCAAGGAACACAGATCTGTTTTTGATACAACAAAAAAATGCCTGAAAAGGACAACAAAAAAAAGACCATAAATGCATTACAACTTAGTGTATAAGCACTCAAAAGAACAAGTAAATGCATATGTCCATGTCACATTTCATAATCTTAAATAAATATAAATATATTGAAATAGCATTTAAAAAAATTTTTTTTGACCACTGATATTGTCTCATCTAACACAGTAAAGCCAATTACAGAATTACATAAATAAACAGATAGACAGACCAATCAATCAAGCATAACATCTGGAAGCATTATTGCGCATTTCTATGAGCAATGTTTTCCCTTCTGGGGTAAAATGTGACCTGGACATGTTTTCATCTTCAGGTTTAAAGGAATATTCACCTGAGGGTCAACTTTTTTCCATGTGGAAATTTAAGAATTCTTTAATCTTACTGTCTTGTTTTCTCTCAAAAAACTGTTGCATGGGAATATTTAAACAGTCTGATTACAATATTGCTGTAAAGATGATAAACAGTCTGTCATGAGACAAGCATGTGCATGAATCTGAAATGTACAGAAGCAGCGCAAACCAGAAATGAACTCAGAAATACAGAATGAAACAAGAGAATAAATGGCATGTGTTCTGTGAGTTAGGCCTATTGTTGATTGGCTGCTTCTCTGTATATTTTTATGTTGTTTTGTCATATTGATGTCTACCTCAACACGGTTTCTTTTTTTCCTTCATATCTGACTGTCTTTTGAGTCATTTAGTCATCTGACCAACTATCCAATAAATACATTTATCACGGCCTTTATCAGAAAGCAGAACCTACACACACACACACACACACACTCAGCACAGACACTTTCAGCAGGGTATCCATCATCCTGTTTGTTATCAAAATATCATGAAATAATTAAGGCAAAAGCTCAGACAGAGTAATTCAGTAACTCAGATTCCTAACCTGAGGAAATATAGGCGGAGGATAAGGAGAGGAACTGTGGGAAGACATGAAGAGAAAAGCGAAGGAGGTGTGTATGAAAACAATGTCTGGGCAAAAATATAAGGAAAAGTTCAGTATAAGGTTTTAACACCCCTATTAGTACAATTAACTAAATAAAATACTAAACTTTTGTTCAAATATATTATGAGTGAGAGCAACTGACAACCAAAATATTATACTATATTGTTTACATAACTATATATGTGGAGAGTCCTTAATTTAAAAACTATCCTCCTATAGCATATAGGCTATACACAGAAACTTCACAACAACCCATACAAGTTTGGTTTAACTTGAAGAAATTGTGACAGAAATACATTACTATTGTACAGCAGAACTTATCAAAGTAATAATAATAAAATTATTACAACTTTATTTTTAAAAAATATATATTTTTGTTTTCATTTAAACGGTACATTACTATAATATACATATACTATATTATTGTTGCTCCTCTCTGCCCTGCCTTTCTGAAACGCGTTGATTTTTACAAAGCTCATTGTTCTGAAAAGCGCAGTGTGCACTGATTGGCCAGCTATCCAGTGCGTTGTGATTGGCTGAATACCTCAAGCGTGTGACGGAAATGTTAGGCCTCTACGACATGGCATGAAAAATAAAGCAAACAATCAAACAAACAAATATTTAGGGCCCTATTGTTGTAAAATAAATTTAAAGTATTTTTTTTTAAAATGTAAAAAAAATATTAAGCTGTTAAAGTTTAAAAAATTAAGCTTTTTGATTATTAATGTTTAATTAAACCAACACAAATCGGGAAAAACTGAAACATAGGGCCTTCAAATTTTAATTTGTGTTAAACCTTATAAATTCCTGTTAAAAGGATAGTTCATCCAAAAATGAAAATTCTGTCATTAATTACTCACCCTCATATTGTTCCAAAACCGTAAGACCTGGTTAAGGCTAGATGTGTAATTTTTGTCACAATGTACAACAATAATTACTGTTTTTGCATTATTGTAAGGGGTAGGTTTAGGGTTGGGGTAGAAGTAGATGTAGACGTTAAAAAAACACAATCTAATATGTATAAAATTACATTTATTGTTAGCTTCCTGTCACGGTTGTACTACCCTGAGGAGCGAGGAGATACAGGAGAATTCGCAGTAAACACAGTCTTTAATCCTTCCAACACGGGGTATACAAGGCAGACAGGAACACATGTAGCACACGATGAACATACACAGACAGTCCAGAACCATGACATATCGCCCCCTCCCGGAAGGACGCACTGTAGAACAACAGAGGGGGGAATGGGTGGGAACTAAGGAGGAGGTTCCAGAGGAGGACGGACACCCGGGAGGGGGCCGGCAGACAGAGTCCAGGGAGGAGACAAGAGGGGCTTGGAGCAGGAGGAGCCCAGCTGGACCCAGGCCACAGCAATAATGTCGACCCACGGTGGAGCAGACAGAGGGAGGAGCCATGGAGGAGGAATGGCCGCCGATTCCAGGGGGCCGACCAATGGCAGTGGAGCAGGTGGTGGAGGAGCCCGAGGTGGAGACGGAGAGCCAACGAGCCAAGCGGATGCCGAGGATCCGGGGGGCCAGGGTGGAGCCGAGGGCTCTGGCGACCAAGGCATCAGCATACAGGTGACAGAACCAGAATCTAGTGTAATTTAATTGAGCTTTTGATATCCAAAAACGGCAATTTTTGGATATCAGATGTGAACAGATGTTCTGTTTCCAAAGCAGGTCAAAGAAATTCATGCAGCTTCTCTTCTGTCGGGTATTTTCAACAAAAACTACACTATTCCCTGGCTTGGACGTGTGATGAACTACATATCTGTCCTGTTCAGATTTAGATCTGCCAGAAGCCCACAGGGACCTCAAGTATTAAGTCTGTTTAACTAAAAAATACACACAGAAAAGGTGGTGTAAATGCAATTTATTGGTAACTGTTTTCTGTAACCAAAATGCTTTTCTTCTGATGCCCTCTGGTGGCCATGAGAAGTATCAAGATTATAGAAGCACTAAGAAATCTATTCAGTTACTGGGTGAATCTCACAATTTGTAGAAATACAAGATATAATAGTTTGAAAGTTACTACAGAGATTAAAGGAACAGTTTGCAAAGAAATATTAATGCAGTTTTCACTCACCTTCATACAGTATTGCTCCAAATCCAAATGTTTTTATTTCCAAGGAACACAGATCTGTTTTTGATACAACAAAAAAATGCCTGAAAAGGACAACAAAAAAAAGACCATAAATGCATTACAACTTAGTGTATAAGCACTCAAAAGAACAAGTAAATGCATATGTCCAGGTCACATTTCATAATCTTAAATAAATATAAATATATTGAAATAGCATTTAAAAAATGTTTTTTTGACCACTGATATTGTCTCATCTAACACAGTAAAGCCAATTACAGAATTACATAAATAAACAGATAGACAGACCAATCAATCAAGCATAACATCTGGAAGCATTATTGCGCATTTCTATGAGCAATGTTTTCCCTTCTGGGGTAAAATGTGACCTGGACATGTTTTCATCTTCAGGTTTAAAGGAATATTCACCTGAGGGTCAACTTTTTTCCATGTGGAAATTTAAGAATTCTTTAATCTTACTGTCTTGTTTTCTCTCAAAAAACTGTTGCATGGGAATATTTAAACAGTCTGATTACAATATTGCTGTAAAGATGATAAACAGTCTGTCATGAGACAAGCATGTGCATGAATCTGAAATGTACAGAAGCAGCGCAAACCAGAAATGAACTCAGAAATACAGAATGAAACAAGAGAATAAATGGCATGTGTTCTGTGAGTTAGGCCTATTGTTGATTGGCTGCTTCTCTGTATATTTTTATGTTGTTTTGTCATATTGATGTCTACCTCAACACGGTTTCTTTTTTTCCTTCATATCTGACTGTCTTTTGAGTCATTTAGTCATCTGACCAACTATCCAATAAATACATTTATCACGGCCTTTATCAGAAAGCAGAACCTACACACACACACACACACACACTCAGCACAGACACTTTCAGCAGGGTATCCATCATCCTGTTTGTTATCAAAATATCATGAAATAATTAAGGCAAAAGCTCAGACAGAGTAATTCAGTAACTCAGATTCCTAACCTGAGGAAATATAGGCGGAGGATAAGGAGAGGAACTGTGGGAAGACATGAAGAGAAAAGCGAAGGAGGTGTGTATGAAAACAATGTCTGGGCAAAAATATAAGGAAAAGTTCAGTATAAGGTTTTAACACCCCTATTAGTACAATTAACTAAATAAAATACTAAACTTTTGTTCAAATATATTATGAGTGAGAGCAACTGACAACCAAAATATTATACTATATTGTTTACATAACTATATATGTGGAGAGTCCTTAATTTAAAAACTATCCTCCTATAGCATATAGGCTATACACAGAAACTTCACAACAACCCATACAAGTTTGGTTTAACTTGAAGAAATTGTGACAGAAATACATTACTATTGTACAGCAGAACTTATCAAAGTAATAATAATAAAATTATTACAACTTTATTTTTAAAAAATATATATTTTTGTTTTCATTTAAACGGTACATTACTATAATATACATATACTATATTATTGTTGCTCCTCTCTGCCCTGCCTTTCTGAAACGCGTTGATTTTTACAAAGCTCATTGTTCTGAAAAGCGCAGTGTGCACTGATTGGCCAGCTATCCAGTGCGTTGTGATTGGCTGAATACCTCAAGCGTGTGACGGAAATGTTAGGCCTCTACGACATGGCATGAAAAATAAAGCAAACAATCAAACAAACAAATATTTAGGGTCCTATTGTTGTAAAATAAATTAAAAGTATTTTTTTTAAAAAGGTAAAAAAAATATTAAGCTGTTAAAGTTTAAAAAATTAAGCTTTTTGATTATTAATGTTTAATTAAACCAACACAAATCGGGAAAAACTGAAACATAGGGCCTTCAAATTTTAATTTGTGTTAAACCTTATAAATTCCTGTTAAAAGGATAGTTCATCCAAAAATGAAAATTCTGTCATTAATTACTCACCCTCATATTGTTCCAAAACCGTAAGACCTGGTTAAGGCTAGATGTGTAATTTTTGTCACAATGTACAACAATAATTACTGTTTTTGCATTATTGTAAGGGGTAGGTTTAGGGTTGGGGTAGAAGTAGATGTAGACGTTAAAAAAATACAATCTAATATGTATAAAATTAAATTTATTGTTAGCTTCCTGTCACGGTTGTACTACCCTGAGGAGCGAGGAGATACAGGAGAATTCGCAGTAAACACAGTCTTTAATCCTTCCAACACGGGGTATACAAGGCAGACAGGAACACATGTAGCACACGATGAACATACACAGACAGTCCAGAACCCTGACATATCGCCCCCTCCCGGAAGGACGCACTGTAGAACAACAGAGGGGGGAATGGGTGGGAACTAAGGAGGAGGTTCCAGAGGAGGACGGACACCCGGGAGGGGGCCGGCAGACAGAGTCCAGGGAGGAGACAAGAGGGGCTTGGAGCAGGAGGAGCCCAGCTGGACCCAGGCCACAGCAATAATGTCGACCCACGGTGGAGCAGACAGAGGGAGGAGCCATGGAGGAGGAATGGCCGCCGATTCCAGGGGGCCGACCAATGGCAGTGGAGCAGGTGGTGGAGGAGCCCGAGGTGGAGACGGAGAGCCAACGAGCCAAGCGGATGCCGAGGATCCGGGGGGCCAGGGTGGAGCCGAGGGCTCTGGCGACCAAGGCAGAGGTGAAGATCCGGAGATCCGCGGCGGAGCCGGAGTGACTGAGGACCAAGGTGGAGCTGGCGGGAGGAAGGAGCCCAATAGAGCCGGTGGGACGGAGCAACGAGGTGCAGCCGGAGGAGCGGAGTCCTGAGGCGATGGCGATATTTTGATGAAATCCAAGAAATATATTACTTATATTTACTAAATATCTACAAAAATGTTATTTAACCATTAAAACAGAGTACAGAAAAATAAAAGCAGAAAAAAGGAATTTGGAAAAAATAAAGCAGACTTTAATATGGCCCTATACATAGCCTATGTTTAAAGGGGTCATATGATGCGATTTCAATTTTTCCTTTCAGGAAGTTGCAAAGACTAAAGTCTCAAATCCAAAGAGATATTCTTTATTAAAGTTAAAGCGTCAACCACGCCTACCAAAAGCGGCTCGTTCTAACATGCCCCCACATGTCTATGTCACGATGTGGGAAGATTTGCATAACGCCACCCAAATGTTCACACAAAGAAAGGAGTAACTTTTATTCTCGCTGTAGTATTATTGTTGCCGCCGCCATGTCGTGAAGACGCTGTGTGTTTCGTTGTGAAAGCGAAACTACTTTGTTTGGCCTTCCAAAAGAGGACGATATCCGCTTCGTCATGCCTAGAGCTGATC